AACAGGTCCGTATGGTCCTGGCTCGCAATCCATTCTGGGGAGCCAGTCCGGTTATTTTTGCCCCGGCCTATAAGTTAGCAACTGAGTACTGAAATTTAAAACTCAGTCGTCAGTTCCAAAAAAAAAAATGAAAAAAAAATCAGTCGTCAGAAACGTTGTGTACAGTCACAACAACTGTCGTTAGTCCCAAAAAAAAAAGAAAAAAAGAAATGTCGTCAGAAATGTGTTGTGTATGGCAGTGGAGTGGTCACAACAACTGGTTCCTCTTGTGGAAACTGCAGCAGCATATCCTGCTGCAGGTGCCAAGTGGCATTATTTATTATTGGAAAACTGATGAAAACGTGACTGGGTTGTGCCCTCTCACTTAGTAGTCAGAGGGCCCGTAGTACCTGCCTAACTCGAAAGAGACCTGGTAACAGGAAAGCACTGGCTACTTCGCCAGTAGGGAAGGGGTCTAGGTATCTGCTTAGCCTAAGCAGGTTTTATTCTGAAGTCATTTAACCTGGCAGTTGTTTTTGCTAGCTGGAGTGATTCCCTGTTGTTTCTTTCTCTCAGGGGATTGTCATCTGCACACCCAGCCACCCTCCCACCCCGCTCCCGGCAGATTACAGATTCCCTATGAGCATCACCATTCTATGAACATCATTGTCTTCCATTTTGTTTGTTATTGAATGTCAGTCTGATGGGTTTCTTTTCCATCGAATGTTGTTTTGCAGGAAGTCTTGCGGACGTTCCAAAGAACCCTCCCCCTGCAGATCCAGGACATAACCTGGAATGGACGCGATCCCTTGGATTAAAGTAAGTGTGCGAAGAAGAAGAAGAAGAAGAAGGACGGAAGGAGAGCCCATGCTTTTGTATGCTTGCTTTTTCACACCGGTGCAGGGAGTTTGGCCCCTCCTACTTTGTGAAAAACTTACGTAGACACTAGGACTTTTCTTTCTCGACTGCATCAGGCCATCATTGCTCTGAAAATACGTGCAAGTGTGAGTACATGCCCTTTTTGTGCTCCCCTCCCCTCAAAATTTTGGACACGATTCGAGAACGAAAACCAAGCCAGGTCCACACTTTAGTCAATTGACTCAATTCTCTCATTACTAGCCAAGTTTTCACGACTTTGTGGTTCACTTCGGAGATTGCTAAACGTGTCCCTTGAACACAACGGCCTCCACAGACACAAACACCATACGCTGGCCTGTGTTCCGTATCCGCGGGACAAATGTTTCCATATATTTTTAGACTTGCCTTGTGTGCTGGTCAAACACATACCATACTCTGCACTGTTTTAAAACTCTAGTGCGAAAAGTTAGAATCTGCTATGTGAGCCGTCCTTGAGTACTCCGAGGCATTGCAGGGGTGAATGCATCGATCTTTCTGCTTTTCCGAGACATTGCCTCCGTTCAAGTATTCCCTTGCAATCCCATCAAGGTGACAAGGGGTACAAGAGAAAGAAAAAGACAGGTGATCGATGTCATGGTACTGGGCAAGTTTGAGTGAGAAAAGAGAAAGGAGGGAGTAGGGGCCCTGTTTGTTTCTTTTGCCCCTGTTCGTGAGTCCGCACAGAATTATCCGCAGGTGGTCTTGTGCAATTTGCTTCTCCAAGGAGAACGGGAACGGGGAAATGAATGTCTTCCATTCCCTGCCTTCAATGATTGGCAACATGCATCCCCTTGATCCCGAGAGGTAACTATGCTTGCAGGGCTCAATTGTATAGGCATAGGTGTAGTGATAGGTAGGTAGTGAAAGGTGCAATTGAGAGAAGAACATAGCGAAGTTTTATGAAAGAAAGAAAAAAAGGAAAACAAAATTGTCGCCCTCAACGCCAACTTTTTTTTTGGATCCATATCTGAAAGACCCTGTATAAACCCAGGCAATTCAAAACCGTAGCTCGAGCATACTGTGTTCCTGCATCTCTGAGAGGCACCACGGAAGACATTTTTGTTGACTGTGTAGTGGCATCCTGCGTCATCAAACTGATCTGAGAAAGGGGCACACAAAGCATTGGAAATTTCAACGTCCGAGTGCAGCAGTCAACGAACGTATGCTCTCTCCTCTCATACAACTCTCGTTGCATTGACTAAATCAAAGTCACAGGAGCGCACTGCTACTCTGCTAGCAACCGTACACACTAAGTATGATCAGGATTACCCAGTTTCCTAAACTTATTCCCCGCTGTTTGTGTTCAATCTGATATTACTCATTCATTGTGGATCAGTGTCCAACACCGATCAACGAGTGCAGAGGTCGATGTCTCAGCGGTGGCTGTACTCACCTGTCTTCCACCCCCCCCTCCCCCTTGAAACAGGGTGTTGTGATCCGGGCGCCCCCTTTCTATTCTGGAGAGCATCGAATACAGTCCCAGTTCGGGTTCCAGTTGCACTGGTAAGCCACATGTATATTGCAAACACACTCAGACGCTTCCTTCCGTTATGACGGAGGGGACCCCTGAGCTGTGTGGATTGCTCGTAAGTGGAGGATTAACTCTCAGGGGGCTGTTTTGACCCATCCTTTCAACCACTGCACTGGTGGGTTGTTCTCGACCCGCAGTGCAGTGCTCTCTTGACGTTGGGGTTGAGTTCCCCTGCTACATCTTCAACTTCCATGCCAGACCCCTGAGCCGCGTTAATTGCTCGTACGCGGAGGATTTAACTCTCAGGGGGCAGGCTGTGTTTTTATCATCCTCTCAACCTCTGCCCTGGTTGCTTTTTCTAGACCCTCAAACAGCGGCAGTGCTCTCTTGATGTTGGGGTTGAGTTCCCCTGCTACATCTTCAACTTTCCCGCCAGTTTATACTACTGTGTTAGGCTCTCTTTGAGCCACGCAGCAAGGGCCAGAGGCTACCCACCATCTCATCCAACTAAGAAAGTTGTGTCATGTATGTTTGTGATGTTGCCACCAAGCAGTCATGTCACGGATTTTCTCTTCTCTGAATCGAACTGATCTGGTTCCTCCTTTGCCATCTGTTTCATCTTGCTCCAGTGGCAGCAGATTTCTATCTCCACCATTATGGTTAGCTTCTGGACCATCTGGGCTGCTTCCGTTTCGGCTCCAGCAGCTGTCGATAGTCTATGAACACATTTGGTTCCAAATGGTTCGTAGTTGAGCTCCTGGACCATGTGGAGCCACCTTTTACTCTTTCCTCCATATAGGTGGTCCTAGGGTATTTACTATTTAATGTATATTATTGTATAATAAGTTAATAACAGTATGGTTAGGGGCCTAAAATGGGTTGACTTGGTGACGGGGGGTTAAAAGGGATGGGAAGTGGGGAATAAGGACGACCAAATGGCTTTGATTCTACCCCAGAACCAGACCGATGTCAACACGTTACAAAATTTTGGGGACAGCTTCTTGTCCATTTTTGTTTCTTTGTGACTTGTTTACGATTCAATGGCCGATCGATGAATGAATGGCTTGCCGTGCAGCCTTTGCAGCAGGCAAGATGTCAGCACTGGCACACAATGTGTCCAGTTGAACCATACTTGCATGCAAATGTACATAAATGTTTTATTATGTTAATATTAAATATAATATATTGTGTATAATGTTGCTCAAGTCATAGGTTGTTCGACACGTACTCTCCGCTGAGAGGTTTTATATTCCTGTCCAATATCCTAGCTATTCTTTCCTCTTTTTTTTCTTTCATTTGGGAGCTCAGCAGGTTTGTTCACCCATCTCTCAAGTCTCTCCATGGATGGTAGTGATTTATTAGGGAAAGGTCTGTCTGTCTGCTTGTGGACGATGTCCCTCCGTGGAATGGGGGGGGCGACATGTTTGGCTGGAGACAGACAAACACGCACATGCTGGCTGGTTGAAGCGATGTGTAACTGATGAGAATTCCCACGTCTGGCCAGATCATTTTTTTCATTGCGCAACGCCCCACACCGGTATGAAAGATACTGGAAGTTTTTCCCCCTACCTGTCTTGGGTGGTGTCAGCACTGGAGAACAGCAATTGTTGGGAAATACCGATGATCGAGTGTACTGCGTGCTTTGCTGGATGCATCGATGTTTGGTCGCTCGCCGCATGGAAGGTGGTATCAGGGAAGATGCTCCTATCGTCTCGAGAATCTATCAGGTTATATCAGGTACAAAACCTTTGGCAGGTCTCTTGTTATTGTTCCTTTCTTCAGCTGTGTGTCACACTCATGTCTGTCTGTCTGTGTGTGTGTGTGTGTGTGTGTGTGTGTGTGTGTGTGTGTGTGACATCATGTTCGCTATACAGCACTCCATTAAAAAAAGCATGCTGTGCTAGGCTGTTTTGTCCGACTTTCCCCCCTGACTAAGCAGGACGTTCTCTCTCTGTGTGNGTGTGTGAGAGAGAGAGAGAGAGAGAGAGAGAGAGAGAGAGAGAGAGAGAGAGAGCAATTCATGGATATGAACCTGGGAAACTGAATTCTATTTGTAGTTGTTGGTGCTCTAATCCGGGTACTAAATTAACACTAATGCCCGGCATTTTTTGCCTGTAATTGTCTTTTGGACTTCATTCCAAAATGGGATATCTACTCTTGTTTTGTTTTTTGGCTATCATCTTCTTGCATCAGTGCCCTATGAAACCTAGTAAGTTAGTAACATATACTACACATCATAACTGCAACATGTATCAACATTCAGTCGTCTTGAACAATGGCGACCTTATCCCTTCAATTCCTCACTCGATAAGATTTTAGATCATTTGAACTTTCCGTTTGCTTTTTTTTGACAGAAGAGCCTGTTATCTTAGCAATGGGTAGTAGTAGTAGTACCATCTGTATTTCAACAAGGTGATTGGTATCATGATTCATATTTGTACGCCTGCCAGCGGCTTGGATGAGTTTTTTATTATTTATAAAAGTTATAAAGAGGATAGCTCTTTCATGGAGGAAAAGGTTGCCCTTCTAATGGCTTGGTACTCATTCTGTACGACGTACGTAGCAAAGCTGCACAGCTGCTGGCAGTCGAGCAATCAAAGTGATGCTCTGGTCATTCAACTTTTCCCGTTCCTGTTTTTTACTGAGATGAGCCTGTTTGTTTCTTTCCCCTCTCCTTTTCTCCCCCTTCCTCCGCCCCCACCCCCCACCCAAAATCACTCATGTACGCTGGCCAGCATTACAAATTGACAATCCTAGTAGAGTGTAAAGCAGAATTTGTTTGTGCACGAATCTCCTTGTTGATTTCAAAGAGCTTCTGGTTTTTGGGTTCATTCATGTTGCACATAACGTTGATGATAAGAAAGTTAGAGAAACAGTGCTTTTGGGACATCCATTAAAATTGGAACGATACAGAGAATGAAGATTAGCATTGGCCCCTGAGCAAGGATGACACACATAAATCGAGAACTGGTCGAAATTTCAAAAAAAAAGAAAAAAGAAGAGGACTGATGCCCCCCAGAATAAATGGGGTTTTGTTTCACCCAAAAACCAAAAAGAGGAGTTTGAGGATGTCGTGTTAATGTGGTGAAGATGTGTTCTTGATATGTGGCTTAACAGATGGAATGCTTGGCTTTGAAAACGCGTACAAGTTGGCAAATACACCATTCCCATTCCCTTACGCGCAGTGCGTGATCATTCTCATCTACTTCCATGCGATAATAGTGACACCTCTGGTCATGGTAGCTTGGCTTCAGACCCCCTGCCTTGTTGGGGTGATGTCGCTCCTTTCTGTTCTCGCATACTATATGTTGAATGAGGTGAGTGTGTCCAATTCTCCTCATGCACCTCTTGAAAAGTCTGCGAGTCGCGAGAGAATCTGTATTCTGGAAATTTGGAAACACAACAAAAAACAAAGCCATCAAGTACTAAACCCCAACCAAGGGGCCAGGATGCTGGGGAGGCGGGGGCAGGGAGGGCAGTTAAAAGTTTTCAGTTGAAATGAAGTTTGTCACTTTGTTATATTTGCGCGAGGAATGAGCTACTCAGCGATGTTGTAAAAGGCCCTCTCCGCCCCAAGTGAAGGCGGGCCTGCAAATTTTGGCCTTGGCCTGAGATCAGGCCTATGACAGCAGACATTGGGGCCCCTTGGGAAGTTGCTGCACGCAGCATCTTCAACCAACCGGTAGGGCCGAACCACCACCGGGAGGTTGAAGATGCTGAGGCCCAGGGCTTAGGCAGTTAGTCTCCGGGCAGGTTCTGGAAGGGCCCAGGGCGCCAGAGAGAGCCTGCGCTAGCGTAGCAGCGTGTGGGCGTGCGGCAGCCATAACCGGGCTGCGAGCTCAATCATAGCCGAGTGGGGATAGAACGGAGGTCCTTGGTGTGGGGAGGCACACCTGCCGATGCTGAAGCGGGCTGTTCACTCAGAGTCTTCGTGTGACATCGGGATGTTTATCTTCATTGTGGACGTGTTGCAACTGTAGGGAGTCTAGGTCTATAGGAGCACATCTGTCATGGGCGCTGTTAAGATTTGCATGTGTACACATTCACCTATGTAAGCCTATATTTGAAAGGGGAAAAACAAAAAAGAAAAGTCTCTGTTTATTAATGAACTCTGGAAAACTTGTCCAGAGTCCCTAACATCCAATATACCCAGTCAAACACTTCCCTTTGCTATGGTCAAGGGACCCAGAGACAGCATCTTTGACCACTTTCTTTTTCAGGAAAGGACTGCTCAACCCCTGTTTTTTTTTTTTAATCATTTCTAACCTAAAGGTGGGTCCTGAACTTTCCTATTCTGCTCAAAATCCTCCCCTGTAAGTCAATTGTCAAAATCAGTCCGAATAAACCCTTTCAGTTCTCTGCAGTCAATTGTCCAGAAGAAGCCAGGACGTGCAATCTCTCTGACCGTGCTGCAGCTCTTGTCCATCTCTTCCCTGCTTTTTTTTTTTTTTTTTTTTTTTTTTTGTGTGTGTGTGTGTGTGTGTGACACTGTGTGTGTGTGTGTAAAAACAAAACAAACTGTGTAATCCCTCTCAGACCGCCGCTTCGGCCTGTCGAGTGAGCTATTGCAGCTAGCAGCTTGTTTGCAGACTTCATGCTTTCAGTTCTCTGCAGTCAATTGTCCAGAAGAAGCCAGGACGTGCAATATCTCTGACCGTGCTGCAGCTCTTGTCTATCTCTTCCCTGTTGTTGTTGTCTTCTTTTTTTTTTTTTTTTTTTTTTTTTTTTTTTTTTTTTTT